AAGGGCCCAAATCCAAAATCTTAGTCTTATTAGCATCTCTCCAACCTCCAAACAAATCAACCCTGAGTACATTATCAATCTAGACTATGCTTAAAATAAATATCCTATCTGCTATATAAAAATGGAAACATAAAATAAATGCTTTGCTTCAATGATGTGTCTTCACAGTGATATTTTTCTCTACAGCAAAATTATCTACATTATCTACACTGCAAAAATGAACTATTCCCCCAAAAAGGAGACAACAATACAATATCAGAGAAAGCAGCACAGTACTGCTGTCTCTGCCTTGTCTTTAACTTAGCTGTGAAACCTTGAGCAAGTCAGTCATCTGCCATCTCATCTGTACCAAATTAATCGATTTTAATTTGCCAAAGAGTTATGAGCAAAATTGTGGTACAATTTTTCATTCATTACTTTAAATTAATCGGCTTAACTGAGCTTTATAACTGAAATAGTTAGCTAAATGTAGTACCCCAAGAGTATTTTTTAGACAATGATAGTGTACAAAGTCATTCAATAGTTAAAAAAAAAAAAAAAGAAAGAAAGAAAAGGTGTTACCTTGAACTACTAGACCATTAGCTATTCTGGACAAAAAAAATTCCTTTCCTTCTCATAAAAATAATCCAAAAAAAAAAAAAAACCACCTTTTTTAACAATGCTGAACACTATTAAACTGCACAATTACTCATTAAATTACTTAAGTAAACCTCATTATTCTATGGATGGAAATAATGTGATACATTGTCTGAAAAACTTAGCTTACTCCTGCAGGACTGTACACACTGCACACCTTCCAAACATTGACTACTGAGCCAGATGAACTGACAGACACATTGCACTGATACACAGTAGGTCTTACTGAACTACTCAAGGCCAAATGGCTGACTTCAGAACCATATGTTGAGATGTAGCTGGTGATTTGCTCTCTCTCACCTCATCCCCCATCCCATTCCAATCTGTGGAGCTGTATTAGTTTGTCACCTTGGTTGCTGAAACTTATCTCCTCTGCTGCCAGTTCTGCTGCTTATTGTCCATCACTGTTACTGATGTCCTTTGCCACTCCCCACCTACCCACATCCCATTGCTATACTGCTACCCAATACTTCTTTTTTCTGTTTCACCATTTTTTAAGGGAGGGGGAAGAACAGAGGGAGAAAGAGAATCTTAAGTGGGCTACATGCCCAGCACACAGCTGGATGCGGAACTCGATCTCACAACCCTGAGATCATGACCTGAGCCAAAATCAAGAGTCAGACGCTTAACTGACTGAGCCACCCAGGTGACCCTGTTTCACCATTTTTGTCTCTACTGTTTGTTTCCAGGCTTCCAAGTCCCAGAAAAAAGAGATCGACTTCATAGACACAGTCAGCCAATCAATATACTCCTTTCCTTCTAATTAAAAGAAAAAAAAAATCAAAGCAGGTCAGAATGATCCTTGGCTTTTCTGAACTGTTTTTATCACAATCTGATACTCAAAGGTTCATTCATTGTTATTAAAGATGCTTTATGGTCTTTTTTATTTCTAAGTTTGGAGTTACTATAGATACTTGTCTATAGATAATTGAAATTTTTACAATTATAGTATTGTAGGGTTAAAAATTCCAAAGGAAACATAGTGGGGCTGCCTTCTTAACCTTTAGACGATTCACCAAAAAAAAAAAAAAAATCCAAAAATTTCTATTAAAATCAATCTTAAAATAAATGAATAGCACTCCAAAGAAGATATACATATGGCCCCAAAGCATATGAAAAGATGTTTAACACCTCCAATCGTTAGGAAAATCAAAACCATAGGAGATCCTACTTCACACCCATTAGGATAACTATTATCAAAATAAAAAAAAAAGAGAGAGAGAGAGAGAATGTGTTTGGCAAAGATGTGAAAAAGTATTTTTGAAGACGTAGAGAAATTGCAACCTCTGCTCATTGCTGGTACGAATGTAAAACAGTACAACCACTGTGGATAATAGTAAGGTGATTCCTAAAAAATTAAATACAGAATTGACATTTGATCCAATTCTGGGTATATAGCCAAAAGACATGAAAGCAGAAACTCAAACAGGTATTTGCACACCCCTGTTCAGAGCAACCCTTATTCACAATAGACAAAAGATGAAAGCAACACAAGCATCTATGGTCAAAATGATTTAAAAAACAATGTGGTATACACATAAAATGGAATATCAACCTTATAAAGAAAACACAATACAACATGGGTGAACCTCGAAAATATAATGTTAAGTGAAATAAGCCAGTCACAAAAGGATAAATATTGTACGATTCCATTCATATGAGTTACCTTGAGTAGAGTCAGGAAATTCAGAAACAGAAAGTAAAAGGTTGTGAGAGGCTAAAGGGAGGGGGGGACAGAGAGTTAATGTTTAAAGGGTATGGATTTTCAGTTGAGGAAGATGGAAAGTTCTGGAGATGGATGACAGTGATGATTGCATAACAGGGTGAGTGTACTTAGTACCACTCATATACACAGTTAAAAATGTTTAAAATGGTAAATTTTATGTTATGTATATTTTACCGCAGTAAAAAAGATGAATGAAAAGTAAACTTTACAATAGGGTAGAAAAGTAGTTGCTATTTAGTTATCCATGGCTACTGTGCAAACCTTATCTAAGACAGCACAAGTAATGTATCAACTGAGTAAATGGTGCTTAACTTCATTAGTGCCAATGAAGAGCATGGAAACATCTCTAAATATCTAAGGACTTCAGATTGTCCTCATAGAGCTGTCTGGGAAAGTTGAAAAAAATAGTCTGTCAATAAGTAAGATCTCTCATGCACACACCAAACCACTGAATAAATACTCATTTTCGAGATTTTTAAACCCTAATGCCTCCATGCCTACATCATTGCTATTCTCGGATATACCAAACATACTCTTGCCTCACCACGTTTTGCTATCCTAATACACCCATCTCCCTCATACCTGCAGAGTTCACGCTCTCATTTTATTCAGATGTCTACTCATATGTTCCCTTATCAAAGAGGCTAAGCTTGACGATCCTATATAAAATAGTATCCTCTGTAATTCTCTCTCCGCATAAAGAGCTTTATTTTTCTTCATAGATTTTATCACTACCTGGTATACACGTTTACTTGTTAATTCTTTTCTCCATCCACGACAATGTAAATTCCAGGAGCACAAGGACTGCCGGAGTCCAGCTCCAGCCAGGGTGGGTCTCTCGTAGGAAAGGACGGCGTCGGCGAATGAGGAGACACAGACACAAGGTCAGGTTGCAAGCATTTCCTCCTGACAGTCTCAGAGGAACTTTATTTATACGTTAGGATATTTTTGTCTTTCCAAATCTTAGATCATTTTCTGGATTACAGCCATAGCCTTCTTTCATTTTTCCTTTGTAATGATTAACATGACCTTTATTGATTTCTGCTTATTGGCTTTCGCTAAAACTAAAAACAATACGCAAAGAGAAAGGTGCTAGACAGAGCGTGACCCTTTTGTTATTTTGTTCTATAGAAACTAATTCTTTGTGGAATTAGTTTCATTATGATTGCTTAGATAGGCGTAACTAAGGTGAGTAGTCACTTTATCATGAAACCCCAGAAATATTCCCACAATTAATAAAGATGGCCATAAATAAAATGAAAAAGAATAGCAGGAGCCAGCCCAGAAATATTCCCACAATTATAAAGATTGCCATAAACAAAATGAAAGAGAATAGCAGGAGCCAGCTGTGGAGTCTCCTGTTTTCAGGATCGTCCCCCATACTTGGACTTTGTCAAACAGCATGAGTAGCTTGGCTCGCGCCAAAGGACTTTGTCTATTTTGTTCACTATGTACCCCCATCACCTAGAACTCCACCTGACACATCGAGGGTGGCCAATAAATATTTGTTAAATGAATAAACAGATGTGATGCTCACAGCATAAAATCATATTTTCCTTTTGGTCTTGGTACTATTCTACCATCTACAAGCCTTGAACAGCCACCAGCCACTGCCTCAAAGCCATCCAGAATGGGAATGATTAAAGTGGGAGGAGCACCTAGTTTAAGAAGTCAGATAGAAACCTGGTACCAGCACTGACAATAATACCTTAATTAGGCACTTCAAACAGTGCTTGCTCTCTGTTTCTAAATACCCTAAATGAATACAGTATATCCGCCCCTGACAATATGGAATAAAGTATAAGTATAAAGAATTTACCTCTAACACTGCTTTAAAACAAAAAGATACCATGTGTTGCATAATAAACATCACAGTGCATCTGTTTGGATGAACATTACAAGGCACTTGCTAGTCTAAAAACCACAGGATTTTCCCTCTACAACTTCTCAGAGGTAGGGAAATACACAAATGCAAGAACACTAGTTGTTAATAAATACAGACAAAAGTTAAGTAACCAATTTCTTGGCCCAAGAGATACACACTGTGGAGCATGAGAAGAATATGTTAAATCTCTGGATGAGGGAGAGAAAAGAGTGTTTCCAATATATACCTAACTTTATTTCAAAGTCAAAAGTTTAAAAATCCATTCCAGTCAAATGTCCCACCAGCGCCCATACATACATGTTACAAGTTTTGAGAGAATTTTATAACTGCACTTTAATTTTCTGTCTGCAGTGAATGGCATCTGGTAAAGCTTCAGCCATTGATTATAATTTCTGTAGAAAAAATGTTTAATCAAACAATAAATACCGTCCCTCCTGAGAAAGCATACGAGGGCCCATTACTCTATGGTCTCTAGGGCTCACCGAACTCCACATGTTCACTTGTAAGGACAGTCAACCAGGGAACGCACGTGTTCTGCCCCGCCTCATAAGTGAAAATGGCAGGTGGAACCTGCCCTTCGGCGGGGTCCCTAAATTGGGTACACCTGTGCGCAAGGCACGCAGCGTGATCTGTGGGAAGCCTGCGGCCCCGGGGCCAACAATCCCCGCCCGAGACCGACCAGGCCAGCCCCTTCCTCTGATTTCCGCCCGGGCCTGCCCCCGGAGCTCATATCCCCGCAAACGCAGGTCCTACCTGAGCTCTGCCCCCAGCTACAGGGCTGCGGGGGGAGGCGGGAGGAGGCGTGGCCTTCCAGCTCGCCAGACGAACTCCCTCGTGCGGTTGTTATGACTTTCCCTCTCGGGATCCGCGCCCCGACCAAGTTCGAGCTGCACTTCCGGGGTCCGCAGGCGACTGAGACGTCATTGCGCATGCGACGACGGCTGCGACAATCCGGAAATGGGCGGAGCGTGGTCGCTAGGTTGGTTCCTGTGGAACTAAGTGGGCTGGGAAAGGCTTGTGGGAGGTAAGAGTTGTCCTGTTATTTCCCCCTGGCCTTGCTCGCTTTTTCCTTCACCCTTTTTTTCTAAAGCGGGAGACCCCGCTTCCTGAGTAGCCTTGAGGATGGGGCCACCTTGCAGCCTCGTTCTCCAAGAGAAAATTAAAAAGTAGTTGTGAGACTGTCCATGCAGCCAATTGCCCACTCTCCCACTCATGTTTTATTCATCTTTACCCACTCCATTCCGCTCCAGAAAAGACAGAAGGTCGAAACTTCTAGATTTGGAAGATTAAATTTACTTCAAAATTATGACTTATAAAGTAAGAAATTAAGGTTTGGCTCCCTGACCCTGCTCTTTTCCTATTTCCTGAGTACTAGTGGGATGAATGAGAAACAGTTTTGGAAACGCAGCCTTTATGGGAAAATTCCTGGTAGTAAAAATTTCTCAGGAAAATCCTTTAAATGTCCTACAAAGTACAGAATACATAATGCTAAAAATAAAGTCGAGATCTTTAATTCTTATACACACTTGAATGTGAGACCTCTTAGGTAGTTGAAATGTTAGAATAAAAGGAGAGTTTGTGTGTCAATATCCGGGCATTTAAGCAATCAGAAATCCAAGGGACAACTCTTAATCTTCATCTTAACCATTCAGCAGCATTTGACACAGTTTAATTACATCTTCTACTTGAAACTTGATACACATTTTTCATTTGACTTTTGTGAAATCATGGTGCTCTTTTGATTCTCCTTTGCTTGATTCCTCCTGGTTTTTTTTTTCTTTTTTTTTTAAGATTTTATTTATTTATTTGACAGCGCAGAAGCAGGGGGGGCAGCAGGCAGAGGGAAAGGGAGAAGTAGGCTCCCCGCTGAGCAGGGAGCATGACTGGGGTTGGGCGGGTGGATCCCAGGACCCTGGGATCATAACCTGAGCTGAAGGCAGAGGCTTAACCGGCTGAGCCACCCGGGCGCCCCTCTTCCTGATTTCTAAATGTTATTATGCTCTAGACCTGTTCCCTTCTTTTTTTTTTTTTTTTTCTTTTTTTTTTTTTAAAGATTTTATTTATTTATTTGAGAGCCAGAGACAGAGATAGCGAGTGAGAACACTGAGCGGGGAGGAGAGGGAGAAGCAGGCTCCCCACTGAGCAGGGAGCCCGATGCGGGGCTCGATCCCAGGACCCTGGGATCATGACCTGAGCCGAAGGCAGACGCTTAACCGACTGAGCCACCCAGGTGCCCCAACCTGTTCCCTTCTTTATCTGTCCTCATTCCGCAGGTGATCTCATCCATTTCCTTCATTGTCTTTTACATAACTTCACTATGCTGATGGCTTCCAAATATACATATCCAGCCCTGACTTCTCTGATTACTATACTCACATATCCAACTTCTTATTCAACATATTACTAGGATATTTAATATGTGTGTCAAACTCTATATTTTCTACCTCCAAAACCTGTTTCCTATTGCATATCTCTCCATTTCAGTAAATGGCATTAGATTCTTACAGTTGTTCAGATTATCCTGATTCCTCTTTCTCTAACATTCCATGTCCAGTCCCTCAGCAAAATCTGTTGGCTCTTTTTTCGAAGGGTATCCTAAACCTAATCAGTTCTCAACACCTATACAGCATTATTCTACTCCTCAATGGATGCTGTAATTGCCTCTTAATTGTTCTACACACTTCTATTTTTGCCTTCCTACAGTCTAGCCTCCATTTGGCAGCTGTAGAAATGCTTCTAAAATGCATGTCAGAATGTGTTACTTTCCCGGTCAAAACTCTTAAGAGCTTCTCTACTCAAGTAGAAGAAAATCCAAAATTGTTTTCATAAAACTCTAAGATCCTACATTATCTGGCCCCCGGCCACTCCTTGCTGCCCCTGAGGAAGAGGGATATAAGAGATTTGGAGATGTGGTGGGGTGAGGCTTGACCAGTAACCTTGGAGTTTGGGAAATGGCAGTCCCAGAGGTGATTACCCAGCTCTCTTGCCTGGAAATATTTAAAGGGAAGAGACCGACTGAGGGTGCCTGTGATGACAAAGAGATAAAAACTGTCGAGTTTTCCCAACAGCTAGTAGACATGTTGGTACATGGCTGCTGTATTCATTTTCAAGGACTACCAATAACAAAGTACCTTAAACTAGGTGACTTCACAACAAAAAATTACTGCCTCACATTTCTGGAAGTTAGAAGTTCAAGATGAAAGTGTAGGCAATGTTGGTTCTTTCTGAGCACTGGAGGGAAATATTCTTCCATGCCCCTCTTCTAGAATCTGGTGGTTTGCCAGAATCTTTGATGTCCCTTAGCTTGTAGATGCATTATTCCAGTCTCTACCAGTATCTTCTCATGGCATTCTCCCTGTGTATTGCCTCTGCATCCAAATTTTTGCCATTGTGTAGGGACTCAGTCATATTGCATTGGGGTACACCCCAGTGACCTCATTTTAACTTGATTATCTAATGGCCTTATTGCCAAATAATGTCATTTGTGAGGTACTGGGCTTAGGACTTTATTGTATCTTTTCAAGGGGACACATTTCAACTCGTAGCACTACTAGAATTGTTTTGAAAAAGAAGTGAAGTGTTTCTAGTAGAATGAAAGAAAGGAAAAGCAACCAGGGAGCAGAATGAAGTTGTGCGAAGCCACCAGGAGAGGATGTGCATGGAAATTTTGACATGCCGGCTGGAGCATTCATTCTGTGTATCTGGCAATGGCAGTGTTGGAGTTCCAGAATTTGGGTGAATCTCCAAAATCTTCAAAACCATCAGCTCTTAGGCAGTTATTACAGAGGGCACCATGGTTTTCCTTTAGCCTTTTCTTCTCCCACCCCTAAGCTGATGCTAATGGGCTTCAAGGTAACAGAGTTGAGTGTGGAACGCAGAGAAGTAAAATGTGGTAGAACCAAGACAAAACAGATTTACCCTCTTCCTTCCAGTCATATTTGTGGGTCAGGCCTATGCTAGGAAAGAGGACACTTTAAAGTAAGTTAGAGGCTTCCAGTCCAATATGTAAAGAGTTTGGAGCTTGGTCAGTCACTTCCATCCTCACAATAAGAAAAAAGCTGAACTAAAAATCAGCAACTCTTTCTAGATCCATGAAAGATTGAGGTCAGCAGGAAAATTACTGACTCCCAAATTGAAGAGACAGGCAATTAAAGAGCACAGTTTAGAGGGAGCAGAAGTTGGCAGCAGGAGTCAGTATGGGTAGGAACACCCTAAACTGCGATTGATAAATTGCTGAAGGCTCACTGTGGACTACCATGAGAATTTAAACTCATGAACTAGCTTGAGAGTTAAAAACCTCAAGTGGTTCCACTTGTGGGGATAGGGAGACCACCCACATTTTCCTGAATTTTACCTTTAGAAGCTCTACCAGGTTTTTACTGTGAAAATAGGAGAAAAATCCTCTTCTGTCAGGGGAAGAGGAAAAGTGGCCATTTTGAAATATGCCTAGAGCTATCTGTTTTCTTTATCAACCCTGCCATTAAGGGGAACTATTTTACCTAACCAACTGGAGGTTTATCAATCTAGAGGAATGAAAATACTCAACCCCATCCCACTCTAGTCTTTGAAGTTGCTGGGGGAAGTGTACAACATGTAGGAACAGAAGGGGACTATAAACAGAGAAATGAAAACACTAAGGAAGAATCAAGAGGAAATGCTAGAAAACTAAAACACATGAACAGAAATGAAAAATATCTTTGATTGGCTCATAAGTATACTGGACACAGCCAAGTAGAAAATGTAGGTTGAAATATGTCAGTATAAAGTTATAAAACTGGCGTGCCTGGGTGGCTCAGTCATTAAGCGTCTGCCTTCGGCTCAAGTCATGATCCCAGGGTCCTGGGATTGAGCCCCGCATCAGGCTCCCTACTCGGCGGGAGGCCTGCTTCTCCCTCTCCCACTCCTCCTGCTTGTGTTCCTGCTCTCACTATCTCTCTCTGTCAAACAAATAAATAAAATCTTAAAAAAAAAGTTATAAAACTGAAATGCAAAGAGAAAAAAAATGAAAAAAATAAGAGAATATCCAAGTACTCCAGGGAAATGACAAAACGTGTAACATAGGCATAATAGGAAACCTAGAAGGAGAAGTAAGAAAGAAAGGAATAAAAGAACTATTTGAAGAAATAATGACTGAGAATTTTCTAAAATTAACGCAGACACAAAACCCACAGATCCAGGAAGCATAGAGAACTGCAAACTGGATAAATAAGAAAAAATCTATACCTGGACATATATATTCTAAACAGCAAAAAATCAAGAACAAGAAAATCTTGAAGCCAGACAGGGGAAAAACAACCTTGCCTACAGAGAAAAGGGGATAAGAATTACATTGGACTTATCTTCAGAAACTATGCAAGAAGAGAGTAGAGTGAAATATTTAAAGTGTTGAAAGAAAAAAAAAAAAAAACATAGATTTTGATATCCAGTGAAATTATTCTTAAAAAAGTAGAAGAAAAATAAAGACAGTTTCCCTTCATTTTTGTCTGTCTAAAACTATCACCAGTGGACCTGAACTGCAAGAAATGTTAAAAGAAGTTCTTCAAAGAGATAGAAATGTTATAGGTTGGAAACTTGGTTCTACATTTAAAAAAAAAAAAAAATTAAGGAATAAATAAAGGTAAAATTAAATCTGTTTTTCTTATTCTAAATTAATATGACAGATAATACTGTTCAAAATAATACTGTCAACATTGTGTTCTATAATTAGTACTTGTGGATAGGTGAAATGAATGACTGCACTGTTACAAAGGACAGGAGGGAGGAATTGAAAATACTCTGCACTTTCACTATCCATGAAGGTGTATAGTGTTAATTTGAAAGTGGGCTTAGATAAGTTGTCAATGTATATTGCGTACTCTAGGGCAACTGCTTTAAAAGTTTAAAAAAAGTCATATGCTGAGGGGGGAGAGGAAAGAAACTGAAATCACATAAAATGTCCAATTAAAATCAGAGAAGGCGGAAAAGAGTGGAAGACAAAACATTAAAGAAACGAAGGAAGCAATGGGGCAAAGAATAGAAAACATT